CTGCTGAAAGTGAGGAGGACTTGAAGCACTTATTGCATAAGATCAAAAATTACAGCCTTCAATGTGGATAGCATCTTCAATTCAAGAAAACAAAGATTCTTGCCACTAGAGCAATAGACAGCATCATGAGAGATGGAGTAAAGATTTAAACTGTCAACAACTTCATCTTACTTGGATCTACAATTTACACCCTTGATACCAGCAGTCAGGAAGTCAAGAGGCATATTAAACTAGGAAAGTCTTAGTTAGAGACCTCTTCAAATTATTGAGGAGTAATAATGTCAGTTTGAGGATTGATTGATTGATTGATTGATCTTTCCAGTTGCTAGCTGAGAGCTGGACAATAAGTATGAAGAAGATTTGATTATGAAGAAGAATTTATGCCATTGAGCTTTAGTGTTGGAGAAGAGCACTGAACATCCCATGGACTGCTAAAAGATTAAACAAATATGTCTTAGAGAGAGTGCAGCTAGAGTGCACTTTAGAGGCAAAGATCATAAGGCTTCACCTCACATACTTCATGCATGTTGCTAGGAGGGGCTATTCCTTGTAGAGGGACATGATACTCTGAAAAGTAGAGGGTGACGAAGGAATGGAAGATACTTGACCAGGTGGATTGACCTGGAGATTGCTGCAATAGGCTTTACTGTGTCAGGAAGTGTGAGGATGGCACAGGATAATACCGGTTTCAGATCTGTTGTACATAGGGTTGCTATGGGTCATACTCAACTTGTAGGCATCTAACAACAACAAAAACTTCCTACCTTGCCATTCCTGATAACCACTCAACAATTACTCTGTGTACAACTCTTTTCATGGTTGCTGTTATTAAGTGCCATCAAGTCAATTATGAGTGATAATGACCCTTGAGAGCTGGTTCTAGTTACTCCTGAGACCCTACAGTATGCCTACTTTCTTCACAGCGTGGCTGACATGTTAATACCCAGTAAATTCTCCTTTGTTCAAGTTAGTTAAAATACAATTTATCTCCATTTCAACCTAACTATTTTAAACTACTATATATAACCTATTTATGATGCTGTTAATGTCCCTATTTACAAACATAATTATCCTTCTTATGCTTGCAGTAATTAAGTTTATTAATGTGGTAGCTAAGGTTGTCATGGATTTCATCTCGCTTGGATCCATATTCAATATCCATAGAGGCAGAAATCAAATTACGTAGCACATAGAGCAAATCTGTGACAAAATCCTCTTCAAAATGTTAAAAATGAAGATGTCACTTCAGTGGCTGAGGTGTACCTGAAATAAGCTGTTGTCCTTAAAATCACCTCAGATGCACACAAAAACTGGACAATGAAAATTAAAAAAAAAACATAAAAATTAACACGCTAAAATTATAGTGCTGCTGAGCAGAGTATCAAATATACCATGAACTGCCAGAAAGAAGAAAAAATCCATCTTGGAGAAGAAAACCCCTTAAAAGTGGAGATAATAACAGTACATTTTTCTTACTTTGGATGTTATAAGGAGTAACCATCTCTAGAGAAGGATATCATACTTTGCAAAGTAGAGAAGATCAATGCAAAAGAGGAACTCTGTCAATAAGATGGATTGATGAAGTGACTGCTATTGTGAGGGTATCACAAGACCAAGCAATATTTCATTTGCTGTGAGTTAGAACTGACTCTGTGGCACTTAACAGGTATAATTACTTTTATTCTTCTCACACAAGTCTTTGGAAACTTTTCATAGGGTATGTGTGCAGTTAACTAATCATTACTATTTTTCTGCAGTAACCTAGCCACTAGCCATTGTAAACTCAAGTGATATATAGTGATAGTGTTTCAAGAGATCCTTTAAATAAATACTTATTAGATCTTTAAACATGGTAATAAATTTTACATAATTGGATTAACTGTTAAAACATAAACTAAATTTATTATTTACTATTAGAAACAAACTATTTCCATAGATATTCTGTTCATCTTGATGGTAGAATTGCTCTAAATTTAGTCATCCTCAAGTTGATTATATCTTTTACTCAGTATTATTTTTTTTTAGTATTTACCTTTTAAAATGTCTATTAGTGCTTAATTTTTTTAAAAATACTTTTCTTGGTTTTCATATAATTCTTTACATTTTATTTCATTCATGTTGTTGTTATGTGCTGTCGAGTCACTTGTGACTCATAGCGACCTATGTACAACTGCCCTAAACTCTGCTCTGTCCTGTGTCAATCACACTGTCTCTGACACACCCATCCCGATTACCCCAATCACTGAATCAATCTACCTCATAGAGGGCCTTCCCCTCCTGCGCTGTCCGTCCACCCTACCAAGCATGATGTCCCTCTCCAAGGACCGGTCCCTCCTTACAACATGTCCAAAGTGTGTTAGATGGAGCCTCAGAATCCTTGCCTCTGAGAAACTGCCCAGTTTAACCCTTTCCAGGATGAATCTGTTTGTTTTTCTAGCAATCCATGGCACCCTCAGTACTCTTCTCCAGCACCACAGCTCAAAGGCATTAATTTTCTTTCTATCTTCCTTAGTCATTGTCCAACTCTCTGATGCATACCAAGTGATTGCAAAGACCATGGCCTATATCAGACGCACCTTAGTCTCCAAAGAGATACCATTCCTCTTCAGTACCTTGGAGAGGTCCCTAACAGCAGACTTTCCCATCGCAATGTGTCTTTTAATTTCCTGGCTACTGGTGCCAAGAGTGTTGCCTGTGGAGTCAAGCAAACTAAAGCTGTGAACAATCTCAGTCTCTTCACCATCCATCCTGATGCTGCCAATTGGTCCAGTCATGAGAATCTTTGTCTTCTTGACATTGAGCCTCAATCCATATTGGAGGCTGCAGTCCTTGACCCTCTGCAGCAGGCGCTTCAGGTCCTCCTCAGTTTCAGCAAGCAGGGTTGTATCATCTGCATAACACAGATTGTTGATAGATCTTCCACCAATCTTGACCCCACATGTCTCCTCATAGAGCCCAGCCTCACGGATAATCTGTTCTGCATACAGATTGAAAAGGTATGGAGATAGGACACATCCCTGGTGTACGCCCTTCCCAATTTTGAACCATGCAGTGTTTCCTTGCTCTGTTCTGACAACTGCCTCCTGATCCAAGTATAGGTTTCTCATTAGCACGATCAAGTGTTCTGGGATTCCCATTCTTCTCAGAGTCAGTCACAGTTTGTTATGATCCACACAGTCAAATGCCTTTGCATAGTCAATGAAATACAGATAAACATTCCTCTGGTATTCCCTGCTTTCAGTCAAGATCCATCTAACATTAGCTACAATATCCCTAGTACCATGACCCCTTCTAAACCCTGCTTGCAGTTCTGGCAGTTCTCTGCTGATGTGCTGTTCCAGTTGTTTTTGGATAATCTTCAGTAGAATCTTGCTTGCATGTGAAATTAATGATATTGTTCTATAGTTTCCACATTCTCTTGGGTCACCCTTTTTTCACTTATATTGTTTCATACAATCATTCATATACATTCTATTTTACATTTTTTAAAAATTGGTTTGCTTACAAAGTTTATATACATTGTGTTTCACACTCTTCTTCATTCACATTGTGCTTTCTAATTTTATTTTTTTCTTACAAGTTTTTTTTTAATTATCCGCTTCCCAAATAACAGTGCCTCCAGAAACCCTGAGAACTCTGATAAATATCGATAGTTGTAGAGGGGCTTCAAGACTTTTGTCTATAGGGTCGCTATGATTCATGCTCAACTCAAAGGCAATAATCATCAACAACAACTAGGTTATTTACAGAATTCAAATATATTGTTTTCCGGAAAAGGTTCTTCCAATTTCTCTCACCCTCCCACCCATCAAACTGCCCAACTCCATGACTCATCCTCCCTCCCCCTGTACATCCTCATCTCTCTGCTTCCATCCTGCCCCCCTTTGGATCCTTATACTAATTTTAAAATAATAGTTTTATACAATATTAGACCTTATGGGACTGATTTAGTTCACTCAGCATAATGCTGTCCAGTCCCTCCCAAATTAGGTAATAATTTACAAAATCATTGCTTCTGCATGCTGCGTAGTAGTCTGTTGTGTGAATGTACCATAATTTCTCAATCCATTCATTTGTGGTTGGACATCTGGGCTGTTTCCACAGAGACTTGCACATCAAGGTTCATAGCAGCATTATTCTAGTTATTCCTTTTGATATTCTTCACATTTATTTCCAATATTATGACATCACAATTATTAATATTCACTCCCTTTGTTGATTAAGCAGTAATATAAATTTTCCTATTAATTATTTTGTTAAAGAATACTGTTCCAGTGTTAGCAGTGCAGGGAAATGTTGGCCAACTCTACTAAGGAAGATGATAATTTTATGTTGCTATTATTATACGCAATTGAGTTGACTGGAACTCATAGTTAGGAGCTAAATAATAATTCTAAATAATTAAACCTTCAGCCAGACACACGTCCATGTCATTATGGTCTAGGTACTTCTATGCTCTATCCCTAGCCTGGATATCAGACTATCAATAGTAAATATGATTAATCAAATCTTAAAAAGAGTAGGAATGGGGTTCCTTAGTAGAGATTTGGTTTCATTAATATCATCTCATCGTTTCATCTTTTTACATCTGGAAAAAACCCAAGCTTTGCACAGTGGCAATATCATAGCCAGTGAGGTATATGGAAGACGTGATTATTGAAAAAACCAAACAACAAAAAACAAGTACCCCATTCCCCTGTAGCATCTGGTCCCCACTGGATCCTTTTCATTTCCTTCACCTGTGCCCCCCACCAACCAAATTGTGCAGCTCCGCAACTGCACCCCTACAATTTTCATCCCTGCCCATCCTCACCCTTCTGCCCCCAACCGTCACCTCCTTGTATCTCCAACATGTTTTTCCCAATAAAATTTTTAAAAAAAGAAAGAAGAAGAAGAAAACCACACAAATACCACCTTTCTTCAAAAGAGTAATACTAATAAATTGAAAATTCTAGAATATAAATAGTTGATAGTATTTAATTTTTTTTTTTACATTATAGGCTATGTATCAGTTGATACCATGAAGAAATTCCTTGGAGAGCTACATGACTTCATTCCGGGAAGCTCGGGATATTTAGCATACCATGTTCAAAATGAAATTAACATATCTGATATAAAAAACAAATTGAATAGGAAATACTAAGTTGAGTTGTTTCTATATCTGAGCACTAATATTTTCTATAAAATAACACTAAAAATATGCATAATTTAAAATGTTTTGCTTGGGATCTAGGGGATAGTGAGATGGAGAAAAATTCTTTTTCTTCCTTAAAATATAAATTCAGAATCTCTATATAATGACATTTGGACTGGATTTTTCTTCCAATTAATATAATATGTACATAAATTCTGAGTGCACACTTGTTATGGAATAATTGGCATTGAAACATGGCTCATAAAATCGAATGCTTTTATGATACTAACATGATACATACATACATACACATACATACATACACATACATACTTAGGTCAATTGATCTAAGTTCAATACTATAGATGCTAAATTTTATTATTGTGGTCATTTTATTTTAAGAATGTTTAAAAGTGTATAGTTGAGTTCTAATTATTGTTTCTGATTTGAAAAACAAGATAGTTTTTTTTCAAATATTAAAATAGAAAAGTAAAGGATTTAAATAATTTGTTTCATTTATAGATTGTTTCTGACAAATATATCAAATATTATTTAATATATATAGACTACAAATGTTACAGCATCTGAGATGAACCTTTGCAAGTCAGCTCCATATCACAGCACTTAGAGAACAAGCCCAACAACCCCAACCCACTTACCGTTTTTAATGAGGAAATGAAGACCCTGAGAAGTGGCTTGCCACCCTAGGGCTGGAATAGAGTTCTCTTGATTTTCTAGGCTAGTGTTTCTCAACTATTACACACTGTGTCTCTCTGTCAGTTTAATAAAACAGTAGATCTGCAAAGGGGACTCAGAAACAAGCCAACATGCTTGACATGTGTTTTAAATAAACTGAGATTGTGATAAACTGAGGTAATTTCAATAAGACAACTCTTTATTCATATAGTCATTCTACATAGAATCTAGTGATCTAAGTGAAATGAAATCCTTGATAAAGCCAGTCTTTTCTCCACTTACCTGTCATGATGCTGTCTGATGGCCCAGTGGTGAGGATTTGATTTTCTCGATGTTGAGAAGTAAACCATATTGAAGGCTGTAGTCTTTGGTTTTCAGCGATAAATGCTTCAAGTATTCTTCACTTTTTACAAGCAAGGTTGTGTCATTTGTATAATGCAGATTATTGAGTCTTTCTCCAATCATGATGCCCATTCTTCTTCATACAGTCTTAGCTTCTCAATGCTTTGCTCAGTATACAGATTGAACAGATATGGAGAAAGGATACAGCCCTCATTCACATCTTTACTGATTCTAAACCATGCAATGTTCATTAACCTTGTTTAGATTGATGCTTCTTGGTCTATGTATCGGTTTCATATGACCACAGCTAAGTGTTCTGGGATTCTCATTCTTCACAATGTTAGCTGTAATTTTTAGTCTCATTCAGTTGACCATGTTTCCTATATAGGAATTAAACCTGTTTGTGAATCTTGATTTAGTTACTAGAAATATTAAGTATATTTAGACCAAGTTGTGTGTGTTGCAATTACTTTGAAGAGAATATTCAGTTGTTGTTGTTAGGTGCCGTCGAGTCATAGGCAACTCATAATGACCCTATGAATGAAAGTCCTTGACACTTGCGTCACTTTCATCTTTTCTCCAGGTTCATGGGGTTTCCAGAGGCAAGCTGTTTACAGAAGTGGATGCCACTCCTGCTTCCAATATTCAGTATTCAGGAAAAATTTCAGACATACATAATATACATATAGGTTAACAGTAACATAGTATGACATACATGTTGTTGGTGTTGTTGTTATGTGGTGTTGAGTCGCCTGTGAATCATAGGGACTATATGTACAACAGCCCTAAACTCTGTTCTACCCTGTGCCAATCTTATTGTCTCTGATACACCTACCTCCTATTACCCCAGTCACTGAATTAATCAATCTCATTAAGGATCTTCCTCTTCTGCTCTGTCCCTCCACCCTCCCAAGCATGATGTCCCTCTCCAAGGACTGGTCCCTTCTTGCAACATATCCAAAGTATGTCAAAACAAAGCTTCAGAATCTTTGCCTCCAAGGAGAAGCCTGGCTTCACCCTCTCTAGGATGAACTTGTTTGTTCTCTTAGCAGTCCATGGTATGTTCAGTACTCTTCTCCAGCACCACAGATCAATGGCTCCTTCTGTCCAGCTCTCTGATGCATAGCAAATGATTGCAAAGACCATGGCCTGTATCAGACAAACCTGAGTCTCCAGACTGACATCATTGTTCTTCCGTACTTTGGGAGGTCTCTCAGAGAGGATTTTCCCAGTGCAACACATCTTTTAATTTCCTGGCTGCTGGTGTGAAATATGTTGATTGTGGAGCCAAGTAAACTAAAGCTATTAACAATCTCTCTCTTTTCACCATCCATCACGATACTGACAGTCAGCCCCGTGGTGAGAATCAGAGCTGATGTATATAGGGTCACTATGAGTCACAGGCAACTTGATGGCACATAACAATAACATGGTATAAAATAGTAGTAGAATAATTATGTAATAGACCAACAACAGTAAAAAGTAGACAAGATACTTCAATTAAAAGATGAAGGATAGCAGTTTGGACTTTAAAAATAGTTATGTGCTACTTGAAAAACATTTAAAACATAAGAACATGGGAATGTTGAAATAAAGAAACCCATAGAGTCCTTTGATGGCCAGGATGAATACTTTCTACTTAACTAGGCATTCAGGTAGCAACTTAATATGTTTGAGCAATAAAGTAACATGATCAGTGCTTAACAAGGTTAAGTGTGGTTATACGGTGGGTGAGTTTGAAGAGGGTAAAAACAGACTGATCCTAAGGATCTGAACCAGGCAGTGACAGAGAAAACAGAGCAGTTGGGCTAGATGCACATTTGATCACTGTTTGTCCCTGACACTTCTCAGAAATGACTAATTTGGGGAGAAAGGAGAATATGTGTACTAGTTGCCTCTGGATAGTGTTTGGAATCAGATTGTAAAAAACCTAAAGTGTCAGACTTGGATTTTATTTTGAGAAAAGTTTAGACTGATGCTGTATATATAAGAATTTTTTAGAGGTATTGATTTAGCATTTTTGTGTTAGATTGGCCTCTTGATCATATGTTGTTTCTTGAAATTGTTCTGTGTCAGCCAATTCTTTTTGGAAAACTGACTCTGTATACTCTTTCCATCTTCTTTTAATGCTTCTTGAATCATTAAATATTCTGCCCATAGCATTCTTAAGTACTGCAACTCATGACTTGGATTTATTCTTTATTTCCTTTAATTTAAGAAATGCCAAGTGAGTTCGGCCCTTTTAATTTTCTGACTCCAGGGAATTGATGGACTACCAATTGACATATTTCAGCAAACAGATGCTGCCCTGGATATGCTCACCAGGTTGTGCCAAGAAATCTGGAAAACAACTACCTGGCCAACTGACTGGAAGAGATCCATAATTAATCATTCCAAAAAGGTGACCCAACAAAGTATGGAAATTATCAAACAACATTACTATTATCACATGCTAGCAAAATCCTGATGAAGTTTCCAGAGATGACTGGAACAGTACACTGATAGAGAACTACCAGATATACAAGCTGGGTTTAGAAGAGGATGTGGCACTGAAGACATTATAGCCAATGTCATATGGATTGTGGCACGAAGAAGAGAGTACCAGAGGAATGTCTATCTGTGTTTCATTGACTATGCAAAGGCATTTGACTGTGTGGATCATAACAAATTGTGACTAACCTTGAGTAAATGGAAATCCAAGGACACTTGATTATGCTTATGTGAAAATTATACTTGGACCAGGAAGTAGTGCTCAAAACAGAGTAAGGAAACACTGCATGATTCAAAATCAAGAAAGGAGTGTGTCAGGAATGCATCCTGTCTCCATACCTTTTTATTATATATGCAGAACAGATCATTTGTGAAGCTGGACTTTTTGAGGAGGAATGTGGCATCAGGATTGGAGGAAGTCTAATCAACAACTTGCATTATGCAGATGGCATAGCCTACCTTGCTGAAACTGAGGAGAACCTGAAGTGCTTGCTGTGGAAGGTTAAGGACTGTAGTCTTCAATATGGATTGAAGCTCAACATCAAGAAAACAAAGATTTTTATCGCTGAGCCAATTGGTAACACCATGTTAAATGAAGAAGAGATTGAGGTTGTAAACAGTTACAGCTTGCTCATCTCCATAATCAACACTCTTCACACCAGCAGTCAGAAAATAAAAAGATGAGTTGCACTGGGAAAATCTGCTGTCAGGGACCTCTCTAGAGTACTGAAAAGCAATGGAGTCAGTCTAGAGACTAAGGTGTGCCTAATCTAGCCATGGTCTTTGGCATTACTTGTTATGCATCAGAGAACTGGACAATGACTAAAAGAAGAATAATCAATGCCTTTGAGTTGTGGTGCTGGAAAACAGTCTTGAACATAGCATGGACCTCCAAGAAAACAAGTAAGTCTTGGAGAGGGTGAAACCAAGTTTTTCCTTAGAGGATATGATTCTGAAGCTCCAATTTCACATACTTTGGGCATGTAGTCAGGAGGGACTGGTTCTTGGAGATGGACATCATATTCAGAAGGGTGAAGGGACGGCGCAGGAGAGGAAGACCCTGAATGAGATAGATAGATAGATTGATAAAGTAACTGGGAAAATGGGGTTAGGTATGTTGGAATCAGTAAGACTGGCTCAAGACAGGGCAGCCTTCAGAGCTGCGATACATAGGGTCACAGGTGACTCAACAATACATAACAGCAACAACAACAATGTTAGATTGGAGGAGAGAAAAGATGAGAACCAATTTAACCACTTTGGTAACTTGTATTAATTCAGGCTTATACAAAAGTTTAAAATCTTACTTGAGTGAGGTATGAAAATAATGCTGTGAAAAATAATATGGTTCAGTATATACATTCTGGGTGTCCGCAGAGGGGACTTACCAGATGAATTGGGAATCTCTGGCCCAGAGTCTGCCAGCATTTGGGTGTGCTGGGATTTTTTTTTTAGAATGTTTTTAAATTTTATTATTTTTG